AAGTGGTAGAGTGCTAGCCTTGAGCTGAAGAGCTGAGGGACAGCGCCCAGGCCCAGAGTTCAGGCCCCACGACCGGACCCAAAAAACAAAACAAAAAGAGTAGGAGGCTCTGAGTTCAAGCCTGTAACAGAGAGAGAGAGAGAGAAAGAGAGAGAGAGAGAGAGAAAAGGGGGAAGGGAAAGATGGAGAATGGAGGGGAGGGGAGTCTGAATAGGAGGCAGCAAAGGCAAAGGGGAATAAAGGTGGTGATGGTGAAAGAAGCGGGTGGAAGTGGGTGGAGAGCGAGTGGCGGGAAGCAAGGTGCCCTGTGCAGCCTTCAGGGTGCTGGCTGAGCTCCCATGGCCCACGGAGAGTAGCAGTGCTAACCTGTCCAAACTTCCTGCCTTTCTCAGCGCTCACTGCCTGCCTGCTGGATTCTGGCTGGATCTCGAGTTCTGCCTGCTGGACGCTGGCCGGCTCCTGCCTGCTGCCGGCTGGCTGTCCCCAGCCTACCTGGCGCCCCTACCCGCCGGCTGCGTGAAGGCTGACGTTGGGGTGCCTTCCGGCCCCTGCCTTCCAGCAGTAGCAGGGGTTGGGAGAGAGGAGGGCCCAGCTGTTCCCCCACCCCCATCCCAGGACAGGTGAAGTGGATGGCGGGAAGCAGCCAGGGACCTGGCCTGGCCTTCTGGAGCAGGGCGTGAGCCGGGCTGGCTAGCGGCACTAAGGCCCTCAAAGCTGCATATGTAGGGAGATGACAGGTTCTGAAGTTTCTCCCTCTTGTTTTTTCAGGCTGGAAGGCTGTTCACTTACTTTATCCTGAAGATAGCTGTCAGCCAGGAACAGAAGCCCTGTGTGGATAGACGGCTCTCAGCGGGAGGCCCAGCCCGCCAACCCACGTCCCTTCCCAAGACCCACATTCCTAGTCTCATAACCATTCACTCAGACATGCCCCTGCCGGAAAACTCCAGAGACAGCTCAGCCCCAGAGGAAGGGAATGATGGAGCGAGGGTCTCTCTCACCCTCGAGGAAGAGAGTTAGCTGGACCCTCGAGTCTGGACTGTCAAGTCCCTGCAGAGTTCTATGGCCGTGGGAGTCAGGGCAGGAGTAGGTACGGTTTGGGGTTTGGGGGCAGGGCAGCGGGCCTCCAACTTCCAACTAATAAAGACAAGTTTGGAACATGGCTACCCAAAGCAGAGGAGTATGCATGCACCTCTTGGCCGTGTTCCCTGAGTTCCTGTCTCTGTCTTCTAAATACAGGCACCAAGACTCAGGGTCACCAGGGCTACAAGATGTCTCTTCCTTTCCTAGGTCTGCCTTCAGGCAGAGTATAGAAACTTCTGGGAGGGGTGGGCAGAAAGAACCCAGGATGGAGAGAAGGTGGCTCTTAGTCAAGACGCGGGACTATGGGATTTCGCTGGGTCTGGGGACCACATGGGCACCTTTGGCTAGCAGGGGTGAGATGTCTGCCTTGCCACTTACCAGTGTGAGTCTACCCAGGGAGACTGACAGCCATCAACCTGCTGGCCCTGCTGCAGGAAACGCCACCCCGGGACCTCCAGCCTGAGCTGGGCTGACCGATGCCACCCAAGTGTCTGAGGATGATTTTAGTGTTCTGCCCAGGACTCTCATAACAACAGAGGGCCTGGTGGGTGCTGACATTTGTGTGCAAGGCTGTCTGTGGTCCTGAACTGATGAACTGTCGTGTCTGAGGAGGCTGCTGTCAGTCAGCTCCCAGTGGCTTGGCTGACTTCCATGGCCACCTGAACCTCTAAGCAGCACAACGATCACTGGACATTTTGTTATACAGGTCTGAAAGGCTCATTATGATTTCTAAACCCGTGTTTAATGTCTGAGGAAGAAGATGGCCTTAGGATTTATCAGGAACAGAGGTGGGCATAGAATTCCACTGTGGTCAGCTAAGTTTGGAGTCCACAGGTGTTGAGCGAGAGGCTTGGACGCAGAAGAGGAACCAGGAGTTCTAGGCCTGGGTTCTGGGCTTGGTGAGGAGGCCGCGTCAGCGTCCCTGACCCCACAGCCCTAGCCCATCTTCCTTGAAGGGGATGGGCCAAGACATCTGGGGAGAGATACTCACATTGTCCCTTTGGTCAAAGTCGACGGAGCTGGAGACAGAGGTGAGGCGCTCATACCGGTCATGACTGTCGGCGTGCATAGCTGAAGCCACACTGGAGTAGGGGAGATGAGAAGTCAGAGCAGGGTGGGGGGGTGAGTGTGAGCCTTGGGGTGGTAGGTGTGAACACCCTGAGCTCCAGGGTCACAGAAGGCACAGAAAGCGCAGAGGCTGAAGCAGGAGCGCGCCCCTCCCCCTCCCCCGCCCCTCCCCCTCCGGGGACACTGATGCTGGGCAGTGGACCCTACAGGAGAGGTGTCTTCATCACTGCCCAGATGGAGGCTGAAGGGAGAATGTTAGAGAGCCCTGCAGTTCCGCAGTGGGCCAGAAGAGGGCGTGGGGAAACAACAGAGCCAACGTGATGCAAAGGGCAATGGGGAGGTGAAGGGAAAAAATGGGGACCAGGAGAACTCAAAGAAATGACAAGGCTGGAAGATGTCTCTTGAGCATGGCACCACCCTCCCTGTTCCCCAAGGCAGCAGCTGCCGCAGCTCCAACTCCAGTCCTATAGACAGAGACCATAAGGCAACACCAAGGCCACAGGGCGGGTCCTTGGACAGCCCCCTGCCCAGGCCTCCAGGAGGAGTGAGCAGGGACCCTGGAAGATGAAGAACTAGCTGTTAGGGCACGCGAAGCTGCTGGTGACACCCAATCTTGTCTCTGCGTGATTGTGCTAAGAAGGCGGCCTGAGGTTTCCTGGGGGGCAGGGGGGGGGTGCCAAGGCAGGGGACAGAGGGCCTTCTCTTAGGCGAGAAGCCAGATGGGGAGAAGTGAGGCAGAGACAAGCTGGGGAGCCCCTGCTCTGCAAAGCACACCACTGCGTTAATCTGAAACATGAGCCTGCAGAGAAGAAAACTGCAAAAAGAAACCAGCAACTTGGCAAGAAGAGAAGAGAAGCGTGAGAAGGAAAAGAAAAAGGAAAGATGGTTTAGTGGGGATCAGGGGCATACTATTCCTGTTCCACTCGGTCCCTCTCCCGCCGCCGAAGCCTGGGGACAGAGAATACACGGGGGTTAGCAGAGGCGGGGGAGAATTCCTGGGGACTGGCAAGGGACTGGGACTCGTCCCTCTTGATTTCCCACAAAGGAGAGGTCTGGCTTGCCTCTATTCCTGAGAAGCGTGGAGGGAGGTGTGTGTGTGAAGCAGGAGACTCTTACCTGTCTGCATCTGTCACCAAAGCCAGCCGCCCATAGTCCCAGGCCACCTTCCGGAGGATGGAGAATAAGAACAGCAGTGCCTAGGGGAAGAGGGGAAGTAGTAGAGACCTTGTACCTGATGTCAGTGAGTGTGTGTGTGCATGTGTGCATGCATGCGTGTGTGTGTGTGTGTGTGTGTGTGTGGCTGGGATGATGTCTTACAAACCGGACCATGAAGGGCAGGGCAGTGGTGATTCATTACAGGGGAACTGGGATCCAGGGGCAGGTACGAGTGATCAGATCTGGAGGTGTTTGCCAGGGGTGTGCAGGACACGAGGGCCAATGGTGGGGACGGCACACGGCACTCACAAGGAAACACATGAAGTCAAGAGCCAGCACGGTGGGGACACCCCCGAAGGGCAGGCCTTGCAGGACAGTGCTGCGGATGCGGGCGCTGTAGCAGTAGTCCTTGGGGTTGCTGTTGTTCAGGGCCGTGGTGCCCAGCGTGGCCAGCAGGAAGGGCAGCATGGCTGCTACTGCCGCATGGTCCTTCTGAGAGAGGGCAGAGCAGTCAGTGGGGCTGGTCCCCCAACGCCTCATGGCTAGAACCGGTTGGGCATTAGGAGAGGAGGAAGATCACCAGGCAGGCTGGGTGGGGGGAAACTCTGGCCTGCAGAGATAAGGGCCTGAGGAAGTCACATGGATTCACCATCGTGGTTCTCTGGCTATGTCGGCACCCGGCCCGGGGCACAGGGTCCAGATGCCTGGCCAACACGGGAGACACTTGGCTTACCAAAGCTGGAAGTATCTGTGATTTCTACCCCTTACCCCCCACAAAAAACCTCTCTGGGCTGGGAATGTGGATCAGCGGTAGAGTGCTTGCCTTGCATGCATAAGGTCCTGGGTTTGATTCCTCAGCACCACATAAGCAGAAAAAGCCAGAAGTGGCGCTGTGGCTCAAGTGGTGGAGCTCTAGCCTTGAGTTGAAGAGCTAAGGGACAGCGCCCAGGCCCAGAGTTCAAGCCCCATAACCAACAGTCTGTCTCAGGCCAGGGAGAGACCAGAGCCTAAGGGAAGATAGGGAGGGTTCTACTGGCCAGAACATCTGCCTCATACTCTTATTTGTTTTGTACTGGTCCTGGAGCTTGAACTCAGGGGCTGGGCACTTTGGTCTACGTGTGTGTGTGTGTGTGTGTAAGTCTTATAGACTTTTACGTGTGTGTGTGTGTGTGTGTGTGTGTGTAAGTCTTATGGACTTTCTTGCCCAGTCTGGCTTTGAACCTTGATCCTCAGATCTCAGCCTCCTGAGTAGCTAGGATTACAGGCGTGAGCCACTAGAGCCTGGCTTTGTCTCTTACCTTTATCTCTTTCATCCCTCTTAGCAAAGTGGCATAGGAGCTGGGGTGTGGCTTCGTGGTAGTGTCTGCCTAGCTTATGCAAGGCCCCCCCCCCAGGAATAAATAAAAAGGCAAATGAACCCGCATAAATTCATGTGCTTAAGTGCTTTCAACTCTGTATAACTGGCTTCAAAACAGAGCTGACTCTGTCCTCAGAGCAGGGGTCCAGGGATGGGAGCCAGTGGCAGTGCAATAAAAAGCAGGACTTCCGGGTTTGTGCAGCCTGGCTGGCCCCAGCTGCTCCTGCTCTCTCCCCATCTTTTTTCCCCTGCTATAGCATAAGTGTCTACACCATTCCCCTCCACCTTCCTCCTCTCCAACTCATTATACAAGGATCACAGGAGTGGTATCAGGACTACAACTCCCAGAGTGCTGTGCTCCTGCCTCGAGCAGGGCAGGCTGGGAACACAGTGCCTGCCAGCCAGCTTTTCCATTGGCAAAGGAAGGGAGAGTGGGTGTGACTCAAACCTGCCTAAGCCCCCAGAAGCCAGGATACTGCCCTTCAGCTAGGATCCCTACCACAGTCCAGGCAGTTGGGACTGGCAGGGAACAAACAACTGGGCTGTGGAAGGGCTTGGGGGCAGAGTTGAGCTGGAGACCTGGTGGAGCTCTCAAGGCAGGAGCAGCAGCACCACCCCTCCCATCCCATTGGGGGGCCCCTGGGGCCCCTTCTGCTGACAACATTGAACCAGGGAGTGTCCCCAGGGAAGAAAGGCAACCAGACAAAGAGAACAACAGACTGAGGTGATGGTTTGGAGGAGAGTATCCTTTAGCCCTGGGGTGACTCGGGGTTCTCTAGCCCACCAAGACTGAGTCCCCCCCCCCCCAGTCTCTCCCTAACATCCAACCACAGGGTGAGAGGCAAGAGCTTGCCCAGGGAGCTGGAGGCTGAGGTTGTTTGTTTCCCTAGGTCCCAGGGAGTCTCCTCAAAGCCTGGCTTAGGAAGGAGAAACTTGCCCGGGGCATACCATACCTTCTTTTCTTCTAGCCTGAGCTGCCTTTAAAAACACATTCACTGTCAGGTGTGGGTGGCTCACACCTGTAATCCTAGCTACTCAGGAGGCTGAGATCTGAGGATCTCGGTTCAAAGCCAGCTCAGACAGAAAGGCTGTAAGACTTAGAAAACCAGAAGTGGCGCTGTGGCTCAAGTGGTAGAACACTGGCCTTGAGCAGAAAAGCTCAGGAACAGCACCCAGGCCCAGAATTCAAACCCAATGATGGACAAAAACAAACAAACAAACAAATTTATTTAAGCTGGCTCACACCTGTAATCCTAGCTACTTCAGAGGCTGAGATCTGAGGATCATAGTTTGAAGCCAGCTTGGGCAGGAAAGTTGGAGAGACTCCTATCTCCATTTAACCAGCAAAATTTAAGAAGTAGCTGGGTGCTGGTGGCTCACACCTGTAATCCTAGCTACTCAGGAGGCTGAAATCTGAGGATTGCAGTTCAAAGCCAGCCTAAGCAGGAAAGTCCATGAGACTCTCTCTCTCTCTCTCTTTTTTTTGGTTCTGGTCGTGGGGCCTGACTCTGGGCCTGGGCGCTGTCCCTCAGCTCTTCAGCTCAAGGCTAGCACTCTACCACTTGTGCCACAGAGCCACTTCCAGCTTTTTTTCCTTTTTGCTTATGTGGTACAGAGGAATGGAACCCAGGGCCTTATGTATGAGAGGCAAGCGCTCTACCACTGAGCCACCTTCCCAGCCCCAATAAACCACTCAGAAAACTTCTACCACTTGAGCCACAACACCTTGAGCTGAAGAGCTGAGGGACAGTGTCCAGGCCCAGAGTTCAAGCCCCATGACCAACAATACAAAAAAGAAAAAAAAAAGGAAGAAGTAGAGCTGTGGCTCAATGTTAGAGTGCTAGCCTAGAGTAGAATTGAGTTTAAGTTCTGGTAATGGCACACATCACCACACCACCACCACCACCAAAGCTACATTAATTTAGTAACTACAGCAGATAGCTTTACTTAGGAAGTGCTATGGTTTCACGACTACATTAATCCTTGGCCATCCAATGAGCTAAGTATTACTATCATTTGTGTGCATGTGTTTGTGTATGTATGTGTCTTGGATTTTCCTGTCTAGGCTGGCTTGGAACCTCAATCCTCAGATCTCAGTTTCTTGAGTAGCTAGCTAGCATTACAGGGGTGAGCCACTGCTGCCAGCTGTTACTACCATTTTTTTTTTTTTTGGTCAGTGTGGGGCTTGAACTGGGGTTCTGGGTGCTGTCCTGGAGCTCTTTTGCTCAAGGCTAGTGCTTTACCACTTTGAGCTACAGCTCTATTTCTGGTTTCCTGGTGGTTAACTGAATAGGAGTCTCACAGACTTTCCTACCTGGGCTGGCTTTGACCATGATCCTCAGATCTTAGCCTCCTGAGTAGTTAGGATTACAGGGCTAAGCAACCAGTGCCCAGTTTATTGCCATTTTTAAGAGGAAGATACAGGGCACAGGGAGTGTAATTAATGTTATTAAAGTCTCGCTGCTAATCAAACAATTAGATTGAAACCTGGGTTGCCATCTTTCCAAAACTAGAAGTCTTTTCAGGGCGCCTGGACGATGCATCGTACAGGGCTGCAGGCTGTGGAAGCTTTGGGTAGAATATGGAAAGTGCTTGTGGCCTGCTCTCAGGCCAGAGAACACAGGCACTGGGGGGGGGGTGCTGGTGGTGCTTACCCGGCTGTGTACAGGGGAGCTAGGTGACTGTAGGGCAGGCAGTGGAAAGGAAGTGAGCTGTTAGCCTCTAAGTGGAGGTTTGATTCGTGGGTGTGTCAGGAGCCTGGTATGCAAACATGAATGGGAAGAGCCTGGGGCACCAGGTCAGGTGTTTGTGAACAGCCTGGGGCACCAGGACTGGTTAAAGGTGGGCAGGCTAGAGGGCCAGGGTGGAGGGCTCTAACTAGCCCCATTCACAATTCCCAACTCCAGTAACCAGGAAATCTCAACTGTCCATTCCCATCCCCGGTCTGTATCTTCAAACTCTAAGGCTCCTCTAAGGCAAAAGTGTTCCCCGTCTCCCCTTCCTCCCCTCCACACCCCCCCCCCATCTAGTCCCAGCCATCTCGGGTCCAGAGGAAGGTGGAACATTCTGGGAACATCTACATTAAATGGCGCCAGCAGGGAGGGTGAGGGTCTAGCTGGGTGCTTGGTAAATGAAGCAAAGCGACCAGCCACCTTCATTATGTCACGTGGCTGTCCCCTCCACCTAACCCCAGTACTAGGGAGGAAGCGGGGACTCACACAGCATCACAGGGCAGGTAAGGGGTGGAGTTGGGCAGGTGTCTTTGCCACTGGACCGGGTTAATTCAAACTCTGAATTGTAGGGGTGGGGCTGCCAGACTGCTTTTAGGGCAGCTGTTCTCAAAGCTAGCTTTGGGCTGGGCAGCCCAGTGGCAGGCAGGACATTTGAGGGACAGGGTAACAGGGGGCAGTTCCTCCATTCCACCGACATAACCCAGCTGAGCTCACCCTGAGGCTTAAAGAGAGGTGGGCAGGGATGGGATTTTAATCCAGCTAAATTAAGGCTGTAATTTACCATTAAAAGACTTGCCTGTGCCATGGGAGCCAGGGAGTCATAAATTTAAAAACATTTTTTTTTTTTTTTTGCCAGTCCTGGGGCTTGAACTCAGGGTCTGAGCACAGGGCCTGAGCTTCTTTTGTTCAAGGCTAGCACTCTACCACTTGAGCCACAGAGCCACTTCTGGCTTTTTCTGCTTATGTGGTGCTGAGGAATCTAACCTAGGACCTCATGCATGCGAGGCAAGCGCTCTACCACTGAGCCACCTTCCCAGCCCTAAAACATTCTTCTAGGGAGTTAGTGGGGAGATTTAATTTAGGTCTCAGGTCACAGGAAGGCATCGGTTAGAGATGGAGATTAACTTTTTTACTGCGTTACCCAGATCTCAGTCTTTCAATTGGTAACAGATACTAATGTCCTAGCCCACCCCTACTGATTCCAGAAAGACAGAGAGAAGAGAGAAATATAACCATATGTAAGGATAAATTACATAAATATGTGTATAAATACATTTGTGTACACACACGCACTGGGCGCTTTATTGCTCAAGGCTAATACTTCTATCACTTTGAGCCACAGGTCACTTCCAGTTTTCTGGGGGGGTTAAATGGAGATAAGAGTCTCATGGCCTGGCACTAGTGGCTCATGCCTGTAATCCTAGCTACTCAGGAGGCTGAGATCTGAGGATCTCAGTTCAAAGCCAGACTCTTACCTCCAATAAATCACTAGAAAACTGGAAGTGGAGCTGTGGCTCAATCGGTAGAGTGCTCGCCTTGAGCTGAAGAGTGCAGGGACAGCGTCCAAGCCGAGTTTAAGTCCCATGACCACCATGACCACCACAACCACCACCAACAAAGAAGTCTCATGGACTTTCCTGACTGGGCTGGCTTGGAACCATGTTCCTCATATCTCAGCCTCCTAAGTAGCTAAGATAACAGGCGTGAGCCACTGGTACCTGGCTAAAAGTATTATTAAAAAATGCATTCATCAGATATTTAAGGTGTGCGCATGAGCACATGCATGTTATTGGGTGCTTTCCCTTAGCATTTTCTCTCGTCTGCTACTTTACCACTTGAACCACCCCCCATTTTTGGCTTTTGGGTGGTTAACGGGAGTTATGCGTTTCACAGAGTTTCCTGTGAGGGATGGCTTCAAATTGTGATCCTCAGATCTGTCTCCTAAGCAGCTAAGATTACAACCATGAACTACCGATGCCTGGTTTATTGTTTGAGAGAGGGTCTTGCTTCACAGCTGAAGTTGGTTTCAAACTTGCAATCATCCTGTCTTGGCCTACAAGTATTTACCACCCTGTCCGGCTTATTTAACTCTTTTTTTTTTTGGGTCCGGTCGTGGGGCCTGAACTCTGGGCCTGGGCGCTGTCCCTTAGCTCTTCAGCTCAAGGCTAGTGCTCTACCACTTGAGCCACAGCGCCACTTCCGGCTTTTTTTCTTTTTGCTTATGTGGTGCTGAGGAATCGAACCCAGGGCCTCAGGCATGCAAGGCAAGCGCTCTACCACTGAGCCACCTTCCCAGCCCCTGGCTTATTTAACTCTTGTTTTGGGTAAGGTACTCTTTGAAACTAACTCATGTGCTCCTGGTCACAAGTCCAGGAGAAAACAGGTCATGTAGCCCATCTCCACAGATAAGACTCAGGAAGCCCAGCTGGTGTTACGCTCCTAACCACTACACTTTGCTGCCATTTCCACCAGGGAGCTGAGGGCCACCAGCCCTGGAGAAATGCCATACCCCTTTTACCACTAGCCTTTCTTCTTGCTTAGAGCTCCAAGCTCCTATGCTCAGATTTGGAGAGAGGGAGAGAGAGAAAGAGAGAGAGTGTGTATATATATGTATATACACACACATATATACATATATATATATATATATATTTTTTTTTTGGTCGTAGGGCTTGAACTCTGGGCCTGGGCGCTGTCCCTCAGCTCTTCAGCTCAAGGCAAGTGCTCTACCACCTGAGCCACAGCGCCACTTCCGTGGAGTTTATAATTTGGATTCTGAGGCAGGCGTAACATACAGGGCTGTATAATCTGGTGGGCAAGGGCACACAGGGTCTAAGATGAGACAGGCATATCTTTTCTCCTGGGCAAATTACTTAGTCACCCAGGGGCTCAGTTTTTCCATCTGTAAAATGTGGACAACAATCCAGTAATAGGGTTGTTTTAAGGAATAAGATGTAAAGCTCTTAAGTAGTTCTAGACACAATAGATTCTACAAAACAGTTGTTAGTTACTAAGGAGGCTGAGGTCTGAGGATCATGGTTCAAAGCCAGTCCAGGCAGGAAAGTCTGTGAGACTCATCTCCAATTAACCCCCAATAAACCAGAAGTGGCACTGTGGCTCAAAGTGGTAGAGGACTAGCCTAGAGTGAAAAAGCTCAGGGACAGCGCCCAGGCCCTGAGTTCAAGTCCTATGACCCACAAACAATAACAAAGAAAGCACGGAACATAGCAATAAGATAGGACAGAGCCCCTAGGTCACGCAGCACAGCTTGTTTAGGCCTAAGGGGTTATGTTTGGGACTGTTCCTAAAAACTCTCCAAAAACACCCCTTCCACCTGCAGCAGGCTGGGAAGTGGAGACACCAGGGGTAATGCTATGCGGGCGTGGGTCAGGAGTTCAGCGAGAGAACCCATTATTGATCAACTACCAGGCGTAGTGCCAGGCTCTTGACCTAGGTAATATTGTTTGATCTCCATGCTAAACCTTGTTAAGCATATCCACACTTTTAAATGCAAACAGAGGTTCAGACAGGTTAAGTAACTTGTCAAGGTCACACAGCTAAGTCAGGGCAGAGCTAGAATTTGAACTCAGGTCTCCATTACCCTGTGATACCTGGAGGAAACTGGTATGATGGCCCCAGCAGGGTTCTTAGCTACCTACCACAGGCCTTCTGCTTGGTAACCTCCCCACCCACTTACCATCCACCCAACCCAAACTGCACTGGGTGAACGGCCAGCAGGCCCCGGCATGTGCCACCTGGGATGTGCCAGGGCCTGGACCCTCTGGTGCCCCGGAGGGCAACCATGCTGCCAGCACACCTTCCCTGAGTCCGGCAGACACTCCCACTCCCCTCCTCACGTGGGCCGGGGAGGAGGGCTGTGGCCCCCTCGCCGGAGGTGCTGGGCACGGCCCCAACCTTGCCCCATTCTGCAGACCCGAGGGAGAGGCGGGAGGAGTAGTAAGTAGTATGGGGTAGGGAGGCTCCAGTCTCCGAGGACACTGGCTGGAGTCGGGTGCGGGCCGGGCGGCCAGGGGACCCAGGCAGGTGGCAGCACCGAGCCCCAAGGGCAGCCGGCCCCTCTGACCTCTCCTTCCCACTTCGCAGGCGTCCTTTTCTTTCCCGGGGAACGCGGCGGCGGCGGCGGGGAGCTCCGGGACGGTCCGCCCGAGGCGGTCAGGTCGGCCGGGAGGGACAAAGCGCGCCCCCCGCCGCGGGGCCTTTGCCCCCACTCGGGATCGGCGTCGGTCTCCGGCCCCGCCGCGGCCCCCACCGCAGGCCCCGGCGACTCATGAATACACTGCACTGTGTGCGGCGCGGGCGGAGGCGAGGCGGAGGCAGCGGCGGGAGGACTCGCTCCCGGGGCCCGTCCGCTGGGG